AAGCTGATTGAACCTCTTTTAGATGCAGAATAAACCTTGTATGAAAAAAATGTTTGCTCAACTATAAGCTTGCGTGATTACTTGGGGGGTTGGAATCAGTTAGGTGTTAACCAAAACGTTCAACAAATTCTCGTGGGGGTTAAGTCTCTGTAATACTGATGAAGAAGTGTTTGACCTAGCGATTTGGGACAAACACATGTACAAGCGGTCCAGTCACCATATTAAGCCGATGCGATTCTTCAAACGTAAACGATGCAAGAAAATCTTGCAAGGGTTCTCATTGGTGTTATGCCATGGACCGCTAGCATCTTCTGAGGTTGGTGGAAACAGTCGTAACGATGAAGAACATAACTCTTCATTCCCAAATCGTGAAGCAGCTCCATCAAACCCAAATCTCAGAGGCGGTTCATCCCAAGACATTTTCAGCTCATTCGTTCCGGTAGAATTAAGTATCAAATTCCGAAATCTCCAAGACGCGTCCCGGACACCCAATGTCACTCCACCCTCAAATACATTCTCGACATTCAAGCCAGATGCACCTCAGACATCCAACCCAAATCTCGGAGGCCGAAACATGTTCGTCAGCTCAAACGCCTCCCGGACACCCAATCAAGACGGCTCCGGCACTCCACCCTCAAGTACATCCACGACATTCAAGCCAGATGCACCTCAGACATCCAACCCAAATCTCGGAGGCCGAAACATGTTCGTCAGCTCAAACGCGTCCCGGCCACTCAATCAAGACGGCTTCAGCACTCCACCCTCAAGTACATCCACGACATTCAAGCCAGATGCACCTCAGACATCCAACCCAAATCTCGGAGGCCGAAACATGTTCGTCAGCTCAAACGCCTCCCGGACACCCAATCAAGACGGCTCCGGCCCTCCACCCTCAAATGCATTCATGTCGACTCCTCAAAACCCCATCGCATCCAAGCAATCCAATTCAAATCTTAAGGGAGGTTCATTCGGGAATGCGTGTACCAGCTTACATCGTCAACCAAAAAATCAGCGAGTGACTTCTTTAGAGCTCGACAAGCTCGATAAACTTTTGTCGGATCTCAGTTCCTACTCCTCGACACCATCTGATGCAAGTTCCCCTGGATTTCCTCCCATGTCCTCAACCACTAAGGTTCCATCTGCATCAGGGACCCCCGCACCCGGTCAAGCCGCGTCTTCAACCCCTAAGGTCCCATCTGCATCAGGGACCCCCGCACCCGGTCAAGCCGCGTCTTCAACCCCTAAGGTCCCATCTGCATCAGGGACCCCCGCACCCGGTCAAGCCGCGTCTTCAACCCCTAAGGTCCCATCTGCATCAGGGACCCCCGCACCCGGTCAAGCCGCGTCTTCAACCCCTAAGGTTGCATCCTATTCAAGGACCCGCGCACCCGGTCAAGCCGCGTCCTTAACCCCTAAGGTTGCATCTGATTCAACTACCCCCGCGCCCGGTCAAGCCGCGTCCTTAACCCCTAAGACAAGGACCCCCGCGCCCGGTCAAGCCGCGTCCTTAACCCCTAAGACAAGGACCCCCGCGCCCGGTCAAGCCGCGTCCTCTGAGGATCAACCCAGTCGAGAAGGTCTAGAGATTTCCTCGTCCACCGTACCTATCGTCCCTAGTGGTACACTCGTTCCTATCGTCCACCACAATCCGGCAGGGGGGCCAGAAAGGATTGAAGCCAACGGCAGTGTCGAGGAGAGAATTGTAGTTTCTTCAACATCTACACCCGCATCTCAAACCTTATCCACCAGGCGTGGAGATGATAGAAATCAACGGATTGGTTGTCGCGTCCTGCTGCGTCGGAGCTTCTTGATTGGCTTCACTGCTGCCCTTGCCTGTTTTGTTGCTTTGTTGTTGGTCGTAGGTTCAACGAAACCATCTCCGTCATAAGAGAAACAGTCATTGAACCTCCGTTTCAGTAGTCGACCTTTTTTTTACCACTTTGTTAACACCTTTTTTTTTACCGCCTTGTTTGGTGTGGAATTGTTGACTGTAGAGAGTCATCCACAGATTGGTCAGCGGTCGCCCTAGTATCGTGGGAACATGCTTCTTCAGCTTGATTTCGCTGCACGCGTGGATGCGTGCGACGGGAAATGGCGAGTTTGTGGCCGGACGTGTAGGAAAGCATGAGACGACGAAGACGGCGCGAAGCAGGAGTTGGCGTTGCTTCGTTGGCCGTGACGTCAGTAGAAGAGCCAGGCTCGTTCGAGGAATTTGAAGGGGGTGGTGTTCCCTCGCCTTCAATGTCAAAGTGGTCAGTGGAACGTGGATGCTCCATTTTACGTAGTCGAGAGTACGCGCTGACTGTAGTTTAGTGGGTGCACACTTGTAATTAGGTGTGGGGCACGCAGGTTCAATTAGCTGCCTCTAGCCTCAAAGAAAATGCGTAAGTCGCGGATGCACTGCGTTCTTATAGCAAGTTCGTGTTGAGAATGCCAATGTTGCTTGTTTGTACCATGCAGAGTGATTGGGGCGCATGCTTCAGGCAAAGCCAAAAAAAACCACGTAGAAAGAAATAATTCGATGATGATGGTCGTGAGCGTGATGCGTAACGTGGCTGCAAAGAAATGACAAATTCGTGTTGTTGGACTTACTGATTTAATGAGAGAGGACTAGGTACTGAGGCTGAGAGAAGCGACGCGAGTGTACTGTTAAACTGAACTGAACGACGCTCAGCTAGCGGCATTCCAATACACCATGGCTCCCCTACAGTACAGGAGCATTGCTGGGTCCTGCGATTGGTCCTGATGGATCGTCTTCCTTGTTGGACCTGAGGCGCTTCCGTCCGTGAGATAAGAACTCTGGCTGTACGATCTCTGAGCTTGTCCTAACTCGTTTTCGCGAGCGATCTTCAATGGATGTAGAAGAGTTGGAGTCGGAAGAGATCCAAGGAAGCGAAGGATACAAACGACGGGTTTCCTCTCGTAGAAGATCTGGAATGAAAGTAGTGATCAGTTTGCACTGCTCAATCGGCGCTGTTCGTTCCACGCCCGCTGTCCATAGCGGCACCATGGACAGATTGGTGGTCGTGACCTTCGTGACGCGTTGTGGGAATGAACGCGAAGCATTGTATTGACCTTCTTGTGTGAGATGGACAATTTTCGCTCGTTCAGCTGTGGATAGCTGGTACGTGACGATGTCTCCAACTTTGAAGGTCGTGGTGGAGCCCCTGCCTGTGTTCGGGACTGAAAACTCCTCGATCTGGCGCAGCTGTGAGAGGAGCAGTTGGGTGCCTCTGTAGTTCCGAAGCTGCGTGAGACGGGATTCTTCTGTGCCGTGAGGTTCGAAGTCTTTCAACCCGGGGATGTGGAGATCTTGTCCGAACACAAGAGAAGAAGGTGTGTCTCCAATGCTTCTGTTTGGTGTCGCGTTGTAAAGCACGGTTGCGTCTGCCACCACTTGCTCTACCTCTGTATCCGTTGTCCAGGGATAGGTCTTGAGCGCGGTCTCAAGGATGCGATGAGAACTCTCGTTGATTCCGTTACCCTGAGGATACTCGCAAGAGGAGAAATGGAGGTTGCTTCCTAACGACTTGGTGATGAAATCCTTGAAATCGTGGGACGTGAAAGTTGGATCTCGATCTGCAAGGACCGCTAGAGGAGCTCCGAATTTTGAAGACCAAGTATCTCGAAATGCTTGTCTGGGCGCAGGAATGGAGATTTTGTCCATCACTGTAGTGGCCATGAAACGAGAGTAATGATCAACGATAACCAAGATCCAAAGTTTCCTCTTGGAGTAGGTTCTTGGACCAATGTAGTCGATAGATACCAGTTGGAAGAGCTGTGGTCTATCGAGGGCTCCCCTTATGCCACCTAGTGTCCTTAGGGGCTTGATAGCATTGCATAGCGGGCAGGAGTTGATGAATTCAATGATTGATAGTTGCATGTTGGGCCACCACACATACTTACGAAGTCTGTTGGTTGTTCGCGTGACTCCTTGATGTCCTCCGAAACGTGACATGTGAAACCACAGCAGAATTGACGTCCTGTGTTTCTCAGGAATGTAGATGCGTTTGCTGCGGCGACCATATGCCGTTCCCTCGTGCCAATCCAATGTGCCTGCGGGCAATTTGGCCTCCTCTGCCTTGGCGGATTCCGCGAATTCCTTGGGATCAGGGAGCGTAAAGCTATTGTCGACTTGATGCACGAGGTGGTAGACGGCTGGCACGTACATGTGGTCGGGAGTTGTGTCATCGTCATCTGGAACTGTGCGTGAGAGCCAGTCGGCTACGTTGTTATTAACTCCGTTGATATGCATAACGTAGGGGTTGAATTCAGAGAGTCGTATCGCCCATCGTCGTCCTTTGGGCGTATCTAGTGAGATTAGATGCTCCAAGGACTTGTGGTCGCTGTAGACTAGTGGTCTGGAGCCTTTGATGTAATTAGCAAAGTGCTCACAACCCCATACGATAGCAAACAGTTCCCTTTCCGTTGCTGACCAATTCCTCTGTGTTTCAGTCAACTTTTTGGAGGCGAATGCGATGGAGTCGATTCCTGTGTTGTCCTCATTGGTTTGGGCTAGCGCAGCGGCTACTGCGACATCGGAGGCGTCGGTGAACAGAATGAACGGCGAGTCCCATCGTGGCATCGTCAGATAAACAGCATTGGCGATGGCTGTCTTTGCGGCTTCGAAGGCGGCTTGCTGTTCAGCTTCCCAACGGAATCGAACGTATTTTCCTGTGAGAGAAGTCAATGGTTCCATGATTTGCGAGAACCGAGGGATGTAGGACCGCAGATAGTTGGCTGCAGCGCAGAAAACTGAGAAGAGCTCTTTTGTCCGTAGGTGGAAGAGCTTTGACCAGACCTTGAAGCTTAGCAGGGTCAGGCTTTAGACTGTCAGCTGAAATGACGTGGCCGAGATAAAGCGCTTCTTCGCGAAAGAACAGAGATTTCTCGTAGTTGATGAAGAACCGAGCTTCCCTTAGGCATTGCAGAACCCTGCGTAGTAGAATGAGGTGCTCGTCAACGGTGCGTGTATAAATGATAATATCATCTATATAGACCGAGATGTTTCCTTCATCGAGTAGGGGTCGCAAGGCTTTCTCTATTGCTCTTTGGAAGATGGTGGGGCTCGTTCGGAGGCCAAACGGCATGACTGTCCATTCGAAAACTCCTCTTTCGGGCACGACAAAGCCCGTGTACTGAATACTCGACTTATCCAACGCTACATTCCAGAAACCCCAGTTTAAATCAACCAGAGTGAAGACCTTGGCACCTGTGAGTCTGATCAGCAAATCCTGTGCATTGGGTATTTGATATCCATCATCTTCTATCAATGTGTTGACATATCGATAGTCGATAACTAGTCTCCACTTTGTCGATCTTGGCTTAGGGACGAGATGGCAGGCGCTAACCCATTTGCAATCAGGAGCTGAACGGATGACGCCGGCTTTCAACAGGTCATCAATCTGTCGATTCAATTCGTTTCTGAGATGTACGGGAGTTGGTCTAGCTGCTACACGTCTGGGCTTTCCTCGCACCCTTATCTCCATGGTGACTGTTGTTGCTTGTCCTGCTTTAGGTTCGAACCAAACGTCAGAGTACTCTTGGAGAAGGGCGGATGCTGCTGATGATTGAGATGGAGTGAGCATTGAGCTCCATTTGGATGTAGTGGCATTTATCGCTTGCTGTACATTATGGTACTCAGTTTGTTGGAGAGTACTTGGAGGGGGACATGCAGTTCCGTTGTCAAGATTGTAGCACTGTAATGTGCAGTCAGCGCTTTGAACAGTCATGGAAGCAAAGTCAATACAGATCTCAAGTGCTTTCAGAGTTGGTATGGACAGGATTGTTGGTGTTTCCGAATTCAGAAGAGCAAAACGTGTGCTACTAGAACGTTCAGGAGTGATGTAGACTACGACGTCTTCGCTGAAGATAGCTTCCGTCACTCTCTGGTTGACGTCCTTGACCATAACCTTCGTGGATTTAAGGCTTGGCTTAATGTTAGCACGTGCCGCGGGTCGTGTGTGACATCACGTTGACCATTGCTCCTGAATCGATAACAGCTGTCAGCAGTAGTTGGTTAATTACGATGGGTACCTCGATGAGCTTTTGTCGCTTAGGGATGCGAACCGAGCCATCTGGTTGGCTGCCGTGAGTAAGAAGGACTGCTTGAGGTTCGTCTGCATATTGCTCGTCACATTCTTCCTCCTCGGGCACTGTCAGCTGAAGCACTTTCCGGATTACTGGAGCTGGTGTGTCATAGGAGGGATCCAATTGTCGCTTTTTGGTGATATATCGCTCTCGCGCTCTGAACTTTTCATCCTCTGCTGTAGCTAACAGCTTGTCCATGACACCAGCCACACTCTTGATCTGTTGAGGAGTTGTGTTGTCGAACTGCGCTTCAAGGCGGGCTCCCTTTTGAGTTGGATGCGCAGTTACTCGTGAACGTCCTGCTGTATCCTTGAAGACTTTTGCCCGGCAAACGTCTGAAACATGGCCGATTCTATCGCACTTGGCGCATCTTGTCTTCTTGTGGGGACAGTTCTTCCTCCAGTGCATTTCTCCGCAACCGGTGCAACGGGTTCGCGGTTGATCCTGTGGATTGGATGTGGGATTTGATGGCGTACTGGCATGGAAGACTGGGAGAGGGAGGTCTCGCGTGGTGTCTTCTTGAAGAGAGACTTCCATTAACCAGGCGGACTTGAAAAGGTCCAGGACTGTCCATTCCCTTTCGAAGTGAACTCTGCGGAGGGACCTTGCAACTTCAAGAGGGAGCAGTGAAAAGACGATGTGTATGCCTTGTTGTGTCCCGAGAATGTTGAGCCGATTCCGACGTTTGCACATATAAGTGTAGCCTTCTTCCATTCTCCTGTAGGCGGCAAATGCTCGGAAGACTGAGTTGTGGCGAGCTTGTTGATAAAGTTGCAATTCCAGCGCCGCAATTTCTGT